TGTGAGTGTCTGAGCGTGTGTGTGAGTGTCTGAGCGTGTGTGTGAGTGTGAGTTTGGGTGGGTGTGTGTGTGTCTGGGTGGGTGTGTGTGTGTGTGTGTCTGTGTCTGTGTGTGTGTGCATTTAAAGCTGCTTTAGCTGTTTAATAACACAGCCGCATGTGTTGATGAAAGCGGGCTCAGTGTCCATCAGCAGCGGTCAGCACTTCTTTTGCAGGAAAATCTGCTTTAGTCTGTTAATGTGGAGAGGCAGCAGAAATGAAGGGAAGCAATTCGTTTAATTCTGTTCAAGGACAGATTCTCTGTTTACAAACTCTGATCATATGTAGGCCCACATGGAATCTGGCTTCCCCCCCCCCCACACACACACACACTTTTTCTCCACTGAATGCAAAAAACTTAAAATCACTTTGTGTGTGTGTGTGTGTGTGTGTGTGTGTGTATCCCCGTACAGTGAATACGAACTTAAGATAAAAAAATATATTGCATCATATAGTGCAACTTATAAAGCAAGTATTTTTTTTATGATAATGATAATTATAAATAATTGTATAATTTTATTTATTTATTTACCTTCACCTTTAGATTATAATAATTTATTTATTTATTTGCTTCTAAAATTCATTTGATTTATTTGGTTATTGATAAATAGTCATATTTTGTCAAAATAATAATAATTGAATTAAATTAATTATTGTAATTAATTGGATTTTTTTTTTTTTTTATTATAAATTGTATTATTGACAGTCCCTTACAATTTACTAGCACAAGGCTACACAATCCAAACAGCAATGTTTAACATGATGCACTTGATCCTTTGGTCATTATTTTGGTAATAATAATAATAATAATATTAATACAATTTATATTATTTTATTATTGTAATTAATAATTATTTTATTCATTTATTTATTTTCATTTTTGAAGTTTGACATTTCCATATCCAATGTACTTTAATTTCATTGCACAAACCAAGGGTGTAGGTTTGATTTTGGCATTAGTGGGTACATAAAGGCGGACAACAGACATTTAATCGTCTGAACAAAATTATTGCTACAATTTAGTATTGGTAGTGATGTCATAGCGTCTCTCCTAAATTCTATGCCACTGAAAATCTGACTTTGGAAACTGTAGTTTTCTTTATTCAAAGTTGATCTAGACAAGTATATTGAAACTATCCAAAGTTCTGGCATGCGACATCAATATAGTGTAATTTTTGTCACGCTGAACAATAATTAGCCTACTGTATTTGCATTATTGTAAGGGGTACGTTTAGGGTTGGGGTAGGTGTCGACGTTAATAAAACACAATCTAACGCCCAAAGTATACTTAATTTTTGTATGCAAAGTATACTTCATTTGATGTTGTGCACGAATGCAGGAGGTCGACACATGCATTCTAAAAAGCTTCATCCATGTCCAGTGTCTGCTCTATTTTTCCCCGTAAGTTATGACCGATAACAAATATTTTTTATTCAAATAAGTGCTCGTCAATGTGGCTGTCTGTTGTTGTTCCTCTCTTTAGTTTTGTTTTCTACTGGGAAGCAACGGCCCGGGACATGGGGAACAACTGATTACTGCAAAACAAATTAAAAGTGCATGTCCATCAAAATCGGGTGGTGCACTTACAGTACGTACTGCTTCGTGTCGTGGCCGCATGATCACAACCAAGTACATTATTTTTCAAATTATTCAACGGCCCATCATCAATTATTCCTTACATAGTCAATGTAAAAAGAGCAAATGGGAGAAGCAGATGAGCACAAAACATCATAACAATAAAGTTAAAGAGGGTAAACTTTATCATTCAGCACTAATGTTTTAAACACTTTACTGCACCCATGTATTAAATATGCATACTCGATCGCACACACTTTTATAGTGTTTACTTGAACTTCTCAGGTAATATCAGTGGTATGACCTATTTCAGATGCGGCTGAAATTACAGCAACAATGTTTACATACACATATACAGTATTTAATGTTTGATCAAAATTATTGCTAGAGACAATTTAGTAGCCACTGGATATTGGTAGGGACATGTCCCTAACGTCCCTAATAAATTCTACGCCCTTGGCACAGCAGAAAAAGCATTTAACATGGACACTTTATTATTTCTGCTGTTTAATGTTCTTCAGCATCTTACCTGGCTGGCTTGTTTTACGCAGCAAAGTTTCGGCTGACATCTTTAGTCAGTAAGAATAATTAAATGACTACGTTATTAGCTATGTTTTTGCAGAGATCCCCCGGGGTTCAGTCTTTTTTGGGTGAGCTGTTTTTTAAAGGTTATGATGAATGGCGGTGGACTTAAGCGTCTTAAAACATACAGTAGTCATTTGCAGAAATGCTGATTCTGATCTGCAGTGTTTGTGGATGCACTAATGGAAAACGTTATTTGTGCAATGTCATGCATCACCCTGCAGAAAACACTTTTCTCTTACTTTGTGTGTGTTTATCCGTAAAACACATCCGCCATTTCAGAAGCATTAAAAACCCATCTGACAGTCCACTTTTCACATATATGTTTTTGTGTGCTTGTTTTGCTCGCTCTTATCTATGCGCTGGTGTGTCCATCGCTCTTTATCTGAAGTGCCTCTAATAGACCACATCTCAGCCGTCCGTCTGTGGTTGAAGTGTCATTGCAGTGGCCTGTTTTCCTCACATGGAGAGAGACTCAATGGCTTTAACTCCCCATTAGAATATATCAACTCTGACGCGCATTATTAGCAGAGCACACCGTCTCTAATGGATGCCGTGCGCATTAGAGGAGCTGCTGATGACAGACTGGGACTCACAGCTAGTCAAACAGGGTTGGAGGCAAAAGCTGTCTGGTGCTGTCTCAATATGATGAATAGCAGGTTTTGTAAAGATTTCAAAACTGTCCTTGGCTGTATTGTGACCGGAGGCGAAATCTGTTCTGCCGCTCCAAACCCAACAGTTGCAAAAGATTGCTGAGGATGAAGAGGTCAATGTGGACTCGCGTTGATGCTGAATATACATTATGTGTATGGTAAATAATTCATTTATATGTATGGCTGCAACTTTTAAAGTAGCTTAGTCTGTATACTTTGGGTTGGCTACATAACAATATGGCTACAACCACAGAGCTGATGTTTCTATTTTTAGACATTTTCTTCTATATGATTTGTATGATATAGGGGAGACCAGGACTAGTTGTCACACTTCAGGGAAGATTTCTCAGGGTATGGTTATTTTTTGTCAAGGCAATTTTAGTACGGGCACAGGCCTAAAACAATATTGAATATTTCCATTTCCATATTTATTGCTCATAAAAATATACCTATGGCATTATGTAGCACCAGTGTTATTTTAGTATTGAGATTCTGTTTCAATTATTAATCATTTAAATTGTAATAATTAATCATTTAAATTACTTTTTATTTGTAGTTTTTGTTATCATTTTAATTTTAAAGTTTTAGTATAGTAATTTTAGTAGTTTTAGTTTTTTAAATATCCATATTGTTTATATTGTTTTTGTTTGATTTAATATTTCTTTAATTTACATTTTTATTTATTAACAATTTAATTGATTTTTGCATTTATAAACTTTTTTATTTTACTTGAGTTTTAGTTTTTTATAGGACACAGTTTAAGGCTTTTTTAAAATCTATTTTAATTAAAATAATAGAAGTTTTTTTAATGGTTTTAGTTGTATATAATATACCATAAAAACCTTTTATAGCATGATAAATTGTAATATATAATAAATATATAATATAAATTATAAAAATGTTGCAGTTGCTGTTTATAGCCACTTATTTAATATCTTAATAATAATTAAAACAAAAAATAATACTACTTCATAAATACTCAATGAAATATGGTTGAATAAATAAATATTTAAAAAGAAGAAAATATTCCACTGCATCTTCAACTGTTTTTGTTTTGTAGGATAATACATTTTCAGCAGAATTTAAAGAAAAACAATTATAAAACTGCAAAAATGAAAAAAAGATCTAAGTATCTAAATAGCAACTAAAATTATTACACAATACTTGAGAAATAAGTGTATGCACGTGAAATATTTAAACATGGCATTTTATCAGATTTGTATTCCAGCATGTGGTTTACTGTGACTGTGAGACATGGACCTCCAGTATTAGCATAAATTGCATAACAGATGTTTGAGATTCAGTCCCAGCATGTCATGTGTGTCTGATCATGGTTGAGCTGGTTTGTGTGGCCGAATTCTTCCCACATTCACCGCCATCACAGCTAGAGACACAGGGAGTCTTTTAATGAAGAGTAAATACGGCCCAGTTAATGTACCATTTGATATTCACTTCTCAAACAAGCGTCTAAATCAGAGGAAGATAAAAGTATACAAGCCTTACGTTGTTTCAACACTCTTCAAGCCCTGGGATTCTGGAACATTAGAACAGAGAAGATAAATGTAATTATCCTGTCATGGTGCGGCCCTTTTGAAATATTTTCATAAAGATTAGAGGGCTATAATCTACAGATGTCTGATGTAGTGCTGGCCGGATGGATGTGTTTGATAATCGCTTATTCTGGGCAGCTCAGAGGTGTTCTCATTAGCAGAATAATAGTAAATGTCCTGGACATACAGAGAGTGGATTTGGGCTTTATGAATGTAGCCATTATGCTGATTATTTCTTAATAGACAGCTCAATACATGTACAGTCGGGTGTGTGTGTGGGGTCGGGATTTGTATTTTGACTATGAGCCAGTCGACCCACTTCCAAGAATCCTGGTTGTGTTGACCTTTGCCTTCATCTCATCGATGCTGACCTTATGCATGACATTTAATCCCCTTCGACTGGCTTGCACAACATTCTGAATCGGCCCTCGTTCAGTTCATGATTTGGAACTTGAAGTTAATTGGCACAGGATGTTGAATTGGAATGACAGGAAAATAAATTTACTGAATTGCTGATCAGAGAAATGTAACAGACTGTTGCAGCAGAGAAATTTCATTTTTGCAAATATAAATAATAAAAATATTATTTTGGCGTAATTATGTCTATTTATCCACATATGCAGAATATTTTTAAATATTTATCTCAAATGAATCTTATTTCCTGTGCAGCAATGATTAGAAAATGTCATTAATTTTTATGTAGCTGAGACATGTATATAAGAAGAAGAAGAAGAATTATTATTATTATTATTATTATTATTATTTTAAATAAAAAAAATGTATGCCCTGAAAAATATTAATTTAACAAAATTATTGTTATTACTATTATTATTACAAATATAGAAAGAAGAATATATACACACAGATGTCTCAACTATATATATATATATTTCAAAGCACATTATTGAAAATGTCCATTTCTATAAACGTTTATTTGATACATAGTATAGATATATAAAAACGTGTGTGTATATTCTTCTTCTTAAAGGGGTCATATGATGCGATTTCAAGTTTTCCTTTGTCTTTGGAGTGTTACAAGCTCTTGGTGCATAAAGAAGATCTGTAAAGTTGCAAAAAAATGTAAAAAAGGGTAAATTCCAACTTTGCTATGACAATCTGGCGCTTCAGAATCAGCGACTGTAAGTATTTTTCTGAAATATATACATGCATGTGTGTGTATTTATATATACATAATAAATATACACAGCACACATACATATATTATGTAAACAAAATCTTTTGTTCTGGATGCAATTAATTGCGATTAATCATTTGACAGCACTAGTATTTAACCGAAATTCACTTTCTTTTTTATTCAAGGTATCCTTTATATATTTGATCAGTTTTTGAATTCCCTGCCATCCATGACCTTGGTGTTGTTAGAGCCATGCTCCTGAGATACTAGAACAAAGGAACAAATAGTGTGAATTGGTTTGATGATTTCTGTTTAGGTTCTGCATAACAAATGAAATATGCTGAGAGATAAAATCAGAAAAGATTTTAATCTTTCACATTACCATCCTCCCCCCAATGGGGTTTGACCCCATTACATTGGACTACGCAGCTGACAGAGCAGTCAGAGATACTATAATAATACAATACTTGCATTAATTTTGCATAAAATGTATTTAAATACCTGTTTGGAATACCAGTACATTTTTATTGATTTTTTTTACGGTGATGAAAGAAAAAAGGCCTTAAGCATTACCCTTCAAACTAAAACACTGCTTGATTTAATAAACATATGACCTCTGATGCTCCATCCACTCAGTTTCTAATTTCAGTTTTTTTATTTGAAGCTCCTTAATCTCATAGTCCAGCTCCAGGGTCCTTTTATACAGAGTCCCCCTGACAGAGTCTGTTTCCAGCTGAATAAATAACAGACTGGTTAAAGTACATTGCAGGCTGGGGATTCACACAGACTGACATGGGCTTGTACAAAGACAGAACTGAACTGTAAGTTCTGTGCAGGGATTCATGCACTACCGGTTTTCCTTTTCTTGAGAACCTTCAGGAGGAAGAAACTTCAGGTTGAGGGGGAGCTTGAGTGTAATCACATAATACAGGGGTTGTCAACCTTATCCGACCCAGAGACCATCTACTTACCTCAGCCAAAAGGGACCTCTTAATGTAAAATACTACCTGTGGCTAACAGGGAACATTCCCACAACTTTGACTAAAGTTATTTAAATGTTATGCAAATGTCAGGAAAAAAACTTTTTTTAAATAATCTTTATGAAACATTCTTATGATGAATGTTCTCATAAAGTTGAGACACATTCTCAGAACAGCCTTATGATGTTATTTGTAATGCTACCATAAAACATTCATGGAATGTCCTTTTGATGTTATTTGTACTTGAACATTCTCAATGTTGAGAGCAGATGTTCTTACAACTACATTTTTTGAACTTCTTTATGATGTTATGAATATTTGACGAATGTTCTTAGAACAATGCCTTTATAATGCTTTTTGTTCTTCGTGAATGTTCTTAGAACAAATTAGTGCAACATCTCAGAACGTTATGTAATCAGATTACTTTTTTTCAAGTAACTCGTAAAGTAACTACTTTTTGATATACAAGTAAATACTCAAATTACTTTTTCAAATAAACAAATTGTTTTCTGGTTTATTGGTTTATGTGTGCACTGTGTAAACATGATTATATACCTTAGTTCTAGACTAATGGTAAACATCCATTTACTCATCTCAGGTGCACAAAAACAGATTCAGTGTAAAAATGAAAAATAAATAAAATAAAAACTCAGAATATGGCACAAACCTGTAATAAGTAAATATCCTTTATGTATTTAATCCCAATTTATTAACCAGTGTCTTTACCGCTGACCTTCGATGATCCAGTTCAACCATAGCAAAAACGACTTTAGATAAACATAGCATTTGTGTTCCGTTTGCTTAAATTGCTGAATAGTGTTGAACTTTCTTCTCCTGTGTCTTGTTCTTCATGCAATCCAGAATGGCAGCACAGCTTAAAGGTTTGTTTGAGCTGCGACTTTTACTGTACAGACATGCATTTACATTTCCTTTAGCCTGAGGCTTATTCATTTCACTTGGTGTGAAAGGGCTTTTACATTTGCCTAAACAGAACCCTTTATAATAAAAACAAACAAGTAAGCTCATCCTAGATGAGAAAAAGCAATGCAAAAGTAAAGTAACACATTACTTTCCATTAAAAGTAACGCAATTAGTTACTTTTTTTTAAAGTAGTAATGCAATATTGTAATGCATTAATTTTAAAAGTAAATTTCACCAACACTGCTTATAACTACAGTTTTGGAACATCCTTATGATGTTGTTAATATTTGCTGAATGTTTTCGTAATGTTATCATAAAACATTGTGAGAACAATGTTCATGGAACATACTTATGATGTTATTTGTACTTAATGCAAGAATATTCTTCTATATGATGTTACTCGTACTTGATGAAGGTATGTCAAAAGAAGAACATTCTTTGAACAACATTCATTCTCAAGATGCTATTAAAGGGTTAGTTCACCCAAAAATTAGGCTGCGTTTTACTCACCCCCGAGGCATCTTTCAAGCTGTTTAATGCCACTCAGTGGGTGTTGCATGCATCAGTCCAAAAGAACTTAAATAAAAATCGCCCATCCATCAAAAAAAGTGTCTCACACGGTTCCGGGGGGTAAACAAAGGCCTTCTGTAGCGAACCGATGCGTTTTTGTAAGAAAAATATCCATATTCAAAACGTAATAATCACTTGAATCTAGCTTGCGCTCACTGCTGTAAACAGAAGCAGTTCCGGGGGAATGACGTATGAGGTCGGCTTTGCACATGTGAGACACTTTTTTTTTTTTATGGATGGCCGATTTTTATTTAAGTTCTTTTGGACTGAAGCAATGCAACACCTGCTGAGTGGCATTAAACAGCTTGAAAGATCAAAGACAATTTTTTATATAACTCCGACTGGATTCGTCTGAAAGAAGAAAGTCATATACACCTAGGATGCCTCGGGGGAGAGTAAAACGCAGCCTAATTTTCATTTTTGGGTGATTAACCATTTAATATTTGCAGGATTTTTTAAAATGTTATCTGAAAATATTGTGAGAACAGCATTCGTGGAATGGATTTTATGATGCTTTTCACATTTGAATAATTATTAAATTGTTACGGTTTTCGTGTTACTACTGCATGATAACGGTTCCGTTCTGTTTTTTAATTTTTTTAAGTTTATTACTGAACTACCTGTACCTATTTTGCTATGGCCTACATTCATTGCGCCTACTGAATTTCCCTCAACTATTCATGACACATACACTCAGCCATATGGACTTGCATCACAGTTAATAAATATGAACTCACGTACACATACCCTAAATCAAAGAGCTGTGTTTGGAGTAGGCAGCACCCTGGACGCCATCCATCATGACTCGACCCTGATTGCTGCGAGTGCCAGCTCCTCTGCCAGGGTGTATTCCCTCCCTCTGTTTTCCTCATTTCACACTTTTTTCTCTCACGGTCTCTTTGCTGCAGATGATATGTGTTTGCACGCAAGAAGAAAAAAGAGGTCATGGTAAACATTCACCACTTTGAGTTGCTTTTGTACTTTATTTGCTGCCAAGATCTTGTGGAACTGAAGATTTATCTAATTAGTTTACACTACAATCCATTTTATTGGGCGACTGCATTATGTGTGAAACTATACTTTGAAAGATATTATAAATATTGCTGTAGATACACTCAGAAGTGGGGTCAGTAAGATTTTTAATTTTTTTTTGGTAACAAGCTGCTTATTCTCACCAAGGCTGCATTTATTTGATTAAAACAGCATTACTGTGAAATATTATTACAACTTAAAATAGCTGTTTTCTTTTTAATATTCATGAATAGTTGTAACATGCTGATTTGGTGCTTAAGAAGCGTTTCCTATTATTATCAATCAATTTGATCAATTTGATGCATTATTGCCGAATAAAAGTATAATTTTTTTGAAAATTTAATTTAATTTAATTTAATTTAATTTAATTTAATTTAATTTAATCTAATTTAATTTAATTTAATTTAATTTAATTTAATTTAATTTAATTTAATTTAATTTAATTTAATTTAATTTAATTTAATTTAATTTAATTTAATTTAATTTAATTTAATTTAATTTAATTTAATTTAATTTAATTTAATTTAATTTAATCCAGTCTTTTGAATGGTGTGTGTGTATTCTGTGCATGTGCAAATAAGATGCAATTTTTATGCTAAACCTAAACGGCAAAACAATTATTTTCTTAAATCAATCTAATTTTCTAGTGTAAATATATCAACATCCATAAAATAAATGACATATTATATTAGGTGTTATTTTCAGAAATCTCTACCAAAATTTAGTGAGGTTTATTCTTAACACAGAAAAATAAATTGCCAGTGTGTTAAGACTTTTTTTAATTTCCCCATTGGCAAATATTTCTTCTTGTTCTTGTACCTGCCTTAACTTTTTGATTCAACAGAAAGAAATATCATAAAATGAAAGAAAACTTCCCAAAGCTCTGGAGTACATATCTTGTGCCCAGGTGCAAGACTCTTCTCTAGGATGGTGGTAGATGCTTAAGGCTTCAGTTCTTAGTCATTCTGAATCCTGACAGGTAATTAAAAGTGGATGGGTATGAGTATTGGGATCAAGCGCCTCATAATTCCTCATTATCTTCTCAAAGCAGATAGTTACCCTCTGGAAACAACTCCCTGTACAAACAAGACTTGTCCCTTACTGGCCCTAGAGCTGGAAGACACTTCACTGGCTGAATACTGACTGACATTAATGAGAAAATACACTACAGAATTTTGTCGAACAGAAAAAAAGATGAATGGCATTCACAGGTCTTATTGGGATGTTGGAGGGAGAAATGTAAATTATAACACCATGTCACTTAATGTCAGCACTGATATATTGTTTGAGTTTTAATAGTAAAACTGTAGCATGTGGCATGGATTACATAAGAAATGACTTTATATGATGAATGGCTTAATATTTTGTACACAAATTCCTAAGAATTCTCTGAGCCATTTTTGAATTTTTTAAACCAAACTTATGGCAAACTGATTTTTTATTCACACAGGGAGAATATCTGCTCACCCTCAGGCCATCCAAGATATCAATGAGTTTGTTTCTCCATTGGAACTGATTTGGAGAAATGTAGCATTATATCACTTGCTCACCAATGGATCCTCTGCAGTGAATGTGTGCCTTCAGAATGAGAGTCCAAACATCTGATAAAAACATCACAATATTCCACACGACATGCTGTGTTTTCAGCAGTTGATCTGTGCATATTTCTCTTTTGTGATTCAGACTTCAACTTTTTTATTGGAGGAAGCAATGGATAGAGAACTCACGTTTTAGCTGGGCGCAACAATTTGATATTAAAAACGTCTTAATGATGAATTTGTTTATTACAAACATGCAGCTTTTCACTTCACAAGATGTTAATTGATGTACTGGAGTTGTGTGGATTACTTGTGGATTACTGTGATGTTTTTATCAGCTGTTTGGACTCTTATTCTGACGTCACCCATTCACTGAGGATCCATTGGTAAGCAAGTGATGTAATGCAAAATTTCTGCAAATCTCTTCTGTTGAAGAAACAAACTCCTTTACATCTTGAATGGCCTGAGGATAAGTACATTTTCAGCAAATGTTAATTTTTTGATTGAACTCTTCCTTTAAGTCTGCCTGAAGTTTCCAAATACGTTTTGGTGGCAATGCGTTTTGTGTGATTTAGTGGACTTAAAATTGTCAGCGATACAATTCTGCTGTGAGTGCACTGATCAATTTGTGGCTCCTCAGTGTACTGGAGTGGAGAACACCAAACAGTGCATGTGTTTCTTTCAGTCTGTGTCATGTTTCATTTTGATAATGGCCATTGTTTGCGAGCGGATGCAGGGAGCAGGAGATGTGTAGTGTCAGTACAGCGGGTTGATTTGCTCTAGCCGCATGTACGCTGTGATGCAGTGCTCATCTGTTTGCGTTAGCCTCCTCTAGAGAGTCCATGTTTCTGAGTTTGATGTCAGTCTCTAAGGTAGATCCCACAATACCTAAATGGGTTACGAGCCTGAAAACCTTGTTTCTTATACGTGGGGAAGAAAGAGAGAACACAGAATGAATGTAGTGCACCATATGGTCTCATAATCCAACCAAACATGCGCAGTCATCACTCTCTGATTTTGAAGGCACTTGAATTTGATTACAGTACGACGAGTGTTTGCAAATTAATTATTGTGTTTACATGTACAATCTTAGACTGATTATGCATTATAATCAGATAATATTTAAAGTCATGTAAATGCTTTAAACTGTGTTATTTTATTAGGTAAAGGTCATAAGCAGTTTAAATAAAACCCAGTGGACACTTTGAGTGGGTTTTTGATAGTTACCAATGTGTTTTGGCACTGTTGTGCATTATAGAAATATTGCTGTTAAATAACAAATTTAAATAATGCTATTAAATGGTAAAATAATATATTTTCTAAAAATACAGTATATGATTGTATATGTGCGTGTATGTACGTATATTTATTAAACTGATTAAAATATTAATAAAAACTGTAATATGTATGTGTGTGTGTATATATATATATATATATATATATATATATATATATATATATATATATATACACAGTTTGTATATATGGATGGACGGACGGATGGATGGATGGATGAATGGATAGATATAGGTGTGTGTGTATAAACTAATATGTATAAACTAACTGATATATATATAAACTAAAATATTAATAAAAACTGTAATAGTATTTCAATGATAGTAAAATAATACTGATTCTGTCCTTCTGCTGAAATGAAAAATTCCAGTATCATGTTTGTTTGAATTATATTGTTACTTAAAGGGGTCATATGATGCGATTTCAAGTTTTCCTTTCTCTTTGGAGTGTCACAAGCTCTTGGTGCATAAAGAAGATCTGTAAAGTTGCAAAGACTAAAGTCTCAAAGTTGCAAAGACTAAAGTCTCAAATCCAAAGAGATGTTCTTTATAAAAGTTCAGTGCTCATTCTAACACGCCCCACATGTCTACGTCACGATGTGGGAAGATTTGCATAACGCCGCCTAAATGTTCACGCAAAGAAAGTGATATAATGCGCGAGCACGAATCTCGCGGATTTCTTTTGCTCTTGCACAAAACAGGATGCGCTCAGATACACGCTGCTCTCACCATATTTAGATATGGGTCAGATGCACTATTCCCTAAACTGATACTTACGATTTGGAGACCAAATATAACACTATAATGAATTGTTCATATTTGCCATAACATTACTACATTCTGTTCTATGGGTTTAATGCATTTGCAGACAATGTAATTACATGTAACTGTCATTTAATATATTCACTTTTTTAGAGGAGAGTGCCATTGAATGTGTAGCTAATATTAAGTGGATTTTCATGAAAAAAAAAAATCTGACCTGAAAAAAAACCTCCCAATATATGTCTAAACAGTGATGCTATTAGAGCATTTATTGTATTATATCTTGCATCATTTACATCTATTTTTGCATTTGATGTTGATTTGAGGAGTTGTTACTTATTATTGTCATCATACAAACTGAGAATTGATTGCAATGATTTTAAATTCAGTTGAGGTATCTGACATATTATGACACAACATTGATGTTTTATATGAAGTCTTTAGAGCCATAGGCTATATGTTGTTTTTAGAAAAATTGCTCAGAGACCAACCAGTTGGACAGAGGTTATATGTACAAATCATTCAAGCACCCAATTCCTAGCCATTTCTATAGGCTACATTTCAATAACATTGCTAAATATGATTAAACTGGAAAGAAATTAAAGATCCAGCTTTGATTATCAAAATAATTCCAGGTTCAGTTCACTCAGCCAATTAGATTTCACATAGTATTTTCATCGGTCAGTTGTGGAGGTCTGATTGGTTTAAGGTTTATTTATATAGAGCCTTTTAAAACAGTGTATACAAAGTAGCGTCTCGGTTACGTATGGTAACCCTCGTTCCCTGAAGGAGGGAATTGAGACGTCACGTCAGATGATCGACGAAATTGGGATCTCGCTTAGAGAGATCAATCCACTTTGAGTGTAAACTAAATGAGCCAATGCACATTGGCATGCGATTATTGCATCCAGCTGCTGCTGATCACAGAGTGGGTCTAAGTAGGCAGCAGATGCAGC